GCGTAGGATATGTTCCCCACATGTGCAGCAGCAACGACAATGAGAACCACGTTGTATATGAGGCGTGACAGAAATGGAACAGAAAAGTGCCAGGTACCTACGAGTCAGTTTAAAATGAGAAAGCGGACGCCAATATCACGGACAATGCACTACTGATAATACGATATCTCAACGTGGGACCCTTGCCGCACGAAGACGGCTCCCGATTGCGTCAGCTGTACCAAGGGCCTCAGCCATACCGGATGCGTCAGCATGGGGGAGTCCACGTCCAACTCTTTCGGCGTTTTGATCCCCGCTTCATCCAAACGATAAATGAGACAAGGTTTTAGGTAACGGGTTTGCAAGCCATAGCCGGCCCTTGAGTTGGACACAAGGTCCTGGGAGTGGCGAAACAGCGATTTGAAGGTGAGCTGTGGAAGTTGAAATGAGTGCCGCTGCGTGGGGAGGGCGATATGGTATCGGCACAGGGTGACTTCCTGCGAAAGGGAGTGATTTTGTGTGGTGGACCGAATTCGTAATCGCTTTAACAGAGAAGCGAAACGTGGAAGGGGGAGAGGGGGACCGCACTGTAGAATTTGACCAACAGTTCGTAGGTGTCATCATGAAGAGGGCTCTCCCTGCATTATAGGGTAACACTGTAGGGAGAGCGTCTTTCATCATCGACCTGGAGATGTACAGACGAGATTTGTTCGACATGAATGAGGTCATCGAGGTTGAATTCCCTCGTTGGTCGCCACAAGTGGTCAAAATTGGTAATTGGATAGAGATGAAGCTGAAGGAATTTAGGGTAGCCCGGGCTGTATTCTTGGTGCGCGAGTACGAGATGCCCCGGCAACAACATGAAGGACTCGAACGGGTAGAGGGCTGAGAACACTGGCCGACCGAAGGGTGTACCGTTAAAAGCGATAAATTTCGCCGCACGCCAATTCCATAATAAGATGAACCTACGCCCATTAAAGTGAGCCTCGCAAATGAAGAAGTCCTCGCAAAGTTGTGGACTTCCGGAGGACATCATGGGCAAGGAGAAATGCACCAGATCATCTGAGTATCCAGTCTTCAAATCGGCTTGAAGAATGACCACCTCAAGACTGTTGTCCCTGGACTCCGTTACTAATGACATCATGGTGAGGAGGTTGAGACGTACGTCGGGCTCAACACTGTGAGAGCCACCACTGCCTCGGATGTTCCTAGGAAATCAAAGGTCGCGGTACGCACGTCGAAACCTGGCCGTGACCATTCCCATACCAGGCGTCTCGAGTTTATCTCAAGACAGCCGACGGTCCTGAAAGGGCCCTCGAAATAACAGAGGATATAGGCATTCCCGGGAAGCGGTTCGGCATAATTGGCACTGTCCACTTCAACAGTATACCGACGAGACTGTTTTGGAGGGACTAAGGATTTGGGCGACCATGTTTGAGGGCCGTCCACAACACGTTTGACCTCGTCTATCAGCGCATCCTTTGACATTTTGTCAATATCAGCCAGAGGTGTATCGATCAGCTGTCGTGCGAAGAGGTTACGGACGACCGAGAGCCAGAGTTGTTTCGTTGAAGTAATCTCGTGGAATAACCTGTTCACCTATGTCATAAACATACGTATGAGTGGATATAGAAACTTCGAAGGGAAGTGGACGTACACGAGACAGAGCAAGGATCGTGTAGACATCGCTGAGGGCAAATATGCATCAGGGAAAACCACCCTGGGAATTTTTTGGTAAAGTTTCTTGTAGCATCAAAATTTTGTGAAATTTGCCAAAAAGTATCAACATTCATTGAAAAGTGCCCAATATTGCGATGAAAGTTGCCCAAATATATAACATTTGTCAAATCCTAAAACCATTTTACTCATGTTTCAGTCAAAACTGCAAGCAATTTTTTGTTGATTGGAGACTCAGGCTCGGTTGATCAAAGAAAAATGTAGGTGCAGCATAGACAGAAAATACACAGAGAGGAGACAGAACCTTCTGAATAACATACCATGGATTGGTGCAATAATGCAGAGAGCTTGCCAGCACCAAGCTATTATAACTTACAATGCCCAAGACTCGACAAGGCTTCCCGAGGCCGGCCCTAAACTGTACGGCACTTTTGACGTTGGGCGCAGACCGCGCGTATTTAGCCGCACGTTACGTCCAAGTCCACGTGTGCACGAGGAAGGTTTGTTTTGATACTGTCACAACAATGATAAACATCTCTCTTCCTTTCCCTCCTCCTCCTCTTACTTCCTAACTCGTTCCTCCGCCCATTTCTTCTCTTTGAGACGCATTCTTCATGCCATAGTCTCCTCAGCACTTTCCCCTCTCCCTTCTGCCAGTTCTGGTCTTCAAGATGCCTGCGCGGTGTGCGTGACCGGTACGTGTACATAGCAGTCTTGACATACCGTATTCTGACCTCGTCTTCTTGTTCTCTCTATATTCTCAACAGCCCTCAAGTGGCACCTGTGGTGCGTTGTCTTCTGTCATGACTGTTCTACACTGATCTTCTCTTTCCTCTTTCAAGCTTGCCCAGCCTCGATCGCAGCCCCGCACCTTTGCTGTACCTCGATCATACCTACCTATGCTCTCGGATACCCCTGTCGTTGACAGATGATGGTCGTCGCTCCCAGTCGATCGGTCACGGCTCAGGTGTGTAATATGTCTTCCCGTCATCGGAGGCTCATGCTCTTGTCATAAAGTAGGCGCCGTTGATTGACGTGAACCATCATAACTGGCACGGCTCCTGAGGCCTGAGTTCCGATGTGATCGTATGTATTACGAAGTACCCTTTCCCGTAAGTCATTGCATGCCCGCCTTCAGCATTGCACTTCCTTGTCCACATTTGACACATTTGTCAGCTTGTGCATGGTCATCCTCTCCATTGCTGACACAGTACATGTACCATCCGCGGTAAGTCACGACTCGGCGCTCCAGATTTGCATGCATTAATTTCGACTTTGTATAGTTGTCTGCACTAGTTCCGTAAGTCTATGTCCTTGTCCATGCAAACTCCAGCGCTAATAGATGTTTATTGGCAGAACTTCAATGCAAGTTGTGATCATGATCGGCTGCAGCTCAAGTCTTGATACCGGTCAGTATCTATCTAAATATTTTAGTCATGAACGAGCTCGAAGGTATTATAAGTCTTGCTTCACTTGTCATTATTCCGTCATCTAATTGCTTCTACAGTCCAATCTGCTGAGTGCCCAAGAGTGTGGGCTCCTAGGTATGGATAGTGATCTGTCTAGCTATGGATAGTGGCTGGCGCTACTGCTCACAGCCTGTTACCCACGTTCAATCATCTTAGCTTACGTATCTATTTATATACAATACGTTACAATGTTACATAGTTGTCCAAATAATATTGGTTGGCCTTTTTTCGCTGACTGTTGTCGATCTGAGAAGAATATTACATCAAACTTGAGAAATATTTACACAAAAGATGAGCACAACTACCCGCCATTTTACTGGAAAGTGCACTATAATTTCCAGAAATTCCGGCCGAAGACAAATTTTTGGTAAATTTTGCTTACTCGAGAAACTGAAGATATTTTTGGTAAATTTCGGTGAAAATGAGCGAAAATATGTGGGGGAGGTTTCCCTGATGTGTGTCCCAGTACATCAGCATCCAAGTCGATGAAAGGCGTTTCAAGTGCACTAATGGTCCAAGGGCTCTGAGCTTTCCCTGCTCCCTCCGATATGAGCGTTTGGGACAAGCTATGGGAAGGCTGTGTCGGCATGATGGGCTGTGGGCCTAGACCGCGACAGGAATTGACAAGGATCGAAAACAAAACGAACGAAGTTACTTATGCCTTTCTTCATATCCCTGACTCGTCAGAATGAAATAAAAGGAAAACAATGTCCACTCCAGAGGGACACCAGAGGATCTCCAGGTTTTTTGTCCGACAAACGGACTGTCACAATTTTTGTGAGGTTGAAGTCTTCTAACGAGCTAGAATATTTCGCCGCGTCGGCTGATTGGCGCCGCATCACCGCCGCTGACCATACAGACACTTATACGGTCCTTGTCCGCCTCCACAGGTAAATCTCATGTGAACCTAAATAGCCACATACATTAACCACGATTTGGGTTGTGTTGATCCATTTGATGAGCATGCGTGAGTAGTCTTGGATATTGTCTTTGTCGCTGGATTTAGTTGCTTTTACAGCTAATGTCGGAACCGAAGGCGCGGATGAAAATTTCTTGTTTTGGAACATTTTCGAAGAATTCCCGATATCTCACTCAATTCTTCACCGATTCACATGAAAACTAGGTGAATCTGTTGGGCTAATCCACGCGGAATTAGTGACAGAGCGGAATTTGTGAAAATATTACGCAATGGTAGATTTGGGTTTTTCGGACTGTTTTCACGCTAAATGCTGTTTAGCAAGCCCAGAACATGTCGCAAGGGCCTAAGATTTTGTGAGGGTCAATATTCATACCAAGGGAAGGATGTGACAGAGCCAGAACTACATATAACTTTATTACAGCTCTTCTAGCTGCATTGGAGGCATTCAGTATTTTCTTGCATCTGAAGATCCTGTGAGAATCACACTTATCTGAGTATTTCATGTAGTTTTGGCTCTGTCACCTCTTTACCTAGGTACATATGTTGTTCCCCACAAAATATTGTGCCCCTGGGACATGTTCTAGGCATGCAAAACAGTATTTTGCGTGAAAATGCCCCGAAAGCACAGGTTACCTAATACATGATATTTTCGCACTAATTGCGTATGAATTAGCGGAGTATATCTATCCAGTTTTTATGCAAATCGGTGCAGAACTGACTGAGATACTTGCAATTCTTTGAAAACATTCCAAAACAGGAAATTTTTGTTCGCGCCTTCGGTTCTGACATTAGCTGTAAATTTTACTTATCTTTCCAACCCTGTCAATTTTTTTTTTCTGTTTTGGCTCCCATATCGTCCAAAAAAAAAAATGGACTTCAAGTATTTGCTTCTTGTCCCTGTGGGTTAATCTGGGTGCTAAGGAGATGCGCATTGACGCCTCTACCACTTGTCAATTGTACTGTAGCTCAGTTGGTAGAGTCTCCTTTCTAGATAGCATTGTTGTCATCTTGATGAGGAATGTGTGCGTTCAATTCCCATCAGTGGCATGTATCGTTCTCTGTTTTTTGTCCTTTTTCTTATTTATTCGGTCCACTTTCATCTCCGACCCCTCACTACAGACTCACCAACCACGATTCAACACCCTTGCGTGCGGCCCGGCGCGCGCGGCGCACGTGCATGCCTTCATCTTGTCGTTGACGTAAGGGGAAATCATTAATACTAGTCAGCACTCTCGAATCTCGACGACGACTATGGACAGCACGCCGCCGCCACCAGCATCGACAGTAGAGGCGGTACAGTCTGGGATAGAGGGAGGAGAGGGTTTTGTGCAGAAGGAGGAGAAGGAGAGGGAGAAGGAAGAGAAGGAAAGGAAAAGGAGGCAGTGACTGAGACAGTCGCGACGTCCAGCCCTTCGTCGTCTGCTTCGCCAGCGCCTTCCATCGCCCTCGTACCTACAGAGACCAGCACTTCATCGGGCCCCACCGCCCTCGCCCTCGCCGCCGCCAACGTCGGCTTCGACCACCTCTTCGCCAACAACATTGCCCTCGCCCGCCTCGCCCTCTCCCCTCCCTCTCCCCACGCCGACTCGCCCATCCACCTCTTGGGACTAGGCGTCTGCGCGTTCCTCGAGGCTGCGCTGGGGATAGAGGGCGGGTTGATGGGCGAGGCGGCGAGGCTGCTTGCGGCGAGCGAGGGTGGCGCGAAGCGGGCTGCAGAGGAGACGAGGAAGGCGAATGTGAAAAGAAGGGCGATGGAGGAGAGTTTGCGGCGGGGCTGGATTACGAGACTCTACAGGCGGACGCGCTGGTGCTGTTGGGGCTTACACATGCGCTTTCGTGCGTTATTGTCCTTCTCTTCTCGGCTTATATATATGTACTAATACACACACCCAGGGACTCCCACACGGGCTACTTCCAATGCATTTACTCCCTCAACGTCGCCCATTCCAAGTTTACAGAACTCTGCAAGACCATCTTCCCCGACGGTCTCGACGCGTATCAGTCTTGCTTGTCTCGCGCGCCCTCGCCGTCCCCCGCGCCGAAACCCGACGGAAACGGTAACGGCACCCTCTCACACGCAGCCTCGAGCGCGTCGTTGACCTGCTTCGCCTCCGCCTCTACCCTTTCGTCCGCACCTCCTACACCTACCACGACGGGGAGTCCCAGTCCCTCTCCTTCGATAATCGCACCGGCGTCCAAGTCGATCTTCGAACACTGGGGCGCGTGCAAGCTATCCCTCGTCTCCAAAGAACAACCAGAGGCAGAGCCTCTCCTGAAGGAGAAAGAGCGGATTGAACGTGAAGTATGTGCTCTTGTTTCTATCTCCCCTCTCTCTCTTTCCTTGCCTACTTACTTAATTCCTTTCTCGATACCTTTCCTTCTCTACCCATCGTCTCATTCATCCCCTCCCCTCGCTTTCCCAATTGACAAATAAATACTCACTCTCAACACAGGCACGCGACAAAGCCGCCAGCGAAAAGGCCAAAAAGTCGAGAAAGAGAGACCCGCGGAGGGCGCGGTAGAGATGATCGTTGCTGGGACTGCGTTTGGTGCGTTCTTTCTTTCTTCTTGTTCTCTCAAATTTTTTTTTTTTTCATGGGCTCTGCGGTGTGGAGGTTTTTATTACGTTTGCGTTTTGCGTTTTGTCGTTCGCTTTCTTGGTTTTCGTATTTCTGCTTTTTTTCGCGTCCGCTTTTTCCGTGTTTGCTTTTGGGTGTGGGATCGCGTTTTCTTTAGGAGAATGGTTACGCTGACGGGCAACCTGCTTTTTTTCCCCCTCAGGATTCGACCTCTTCAACCTGACGTTTTCTCTGTTGCCGAAAAAGGTGCAGTGAGTTGCTCTTTCCTTCCTTCCTTTCTGTTCTGCTCCCTCTTGTTATTTGTTTTATTTTTCTTTCGTTTGAGAGCGGTGGGAGACGTTTTCTTGGCGAGGAGGACGCGCTGCCTTTGCTGGGGTAGGCAGCGGGCGCTCATCATCGCACGGACTTCGGCGCTCTTTGGCTTTTGCGTTACACCGTGGTTCGGGCCTTTCGGGACGTGACGAGCCCAAGGCCAGCAGTTGGCGCCTCGACGGTGATGGCTGGCTCGGGCGCATACTCGCGACATGCTTTACGACGAGCAGAGGACTCGCCAAGCCCACCAACGGACGTACTAGGGTCCGCGCTTGACGACGAGCGGCTGTTCGTACTTTGTCGAAGCAATATGGGCAGTCGGGTAGTAGGGTTGGCGTGTTGTGGTTGCTATGCCATCTTCGCAATATGCCTACACCTTGCCACAATTATCAACCACGCACATGCGACTGTTCTATTCTCATAAATTAATGCGGCGATCTCACCTCATCCGTATGTACTCGCCGACGCGACTTGACCATCACTTGGTGGACCGCTTCCGACTCCACCATGACATCTCTTTGTCGGCCAGTCTCTCTAGAAGTGAAACATGGGAATACTTCGCATGAGCATGATGTTATAATTCCGTATCATAGCCTTGTGAATTAAATCTGGTTCCAGGATCAATTGTGAAGCGAGTCTCACACCGACTCACAGGAAACGATTTTATTTGTCTTGAGCCATCCTCCATCTCAATCAGAAAAAAGCTGTAAGCATCCCTAATGGAAAGTCAAGATTTAGTTACTAGGACTGCCAGTGATCATAGTGATTGTGAGGTGCTTTTTGCTCTTGCTCTCGAGTCAAACAGTGCGCCTATTACCACACAGCTGTCTCCGGGATGATTCGTCTGCGCATCCGTGAAGTTGCTCCTACTCGAACTTATTGGTTGTGCCGTTGACTCATTTTATTGTGCCCGAGAGTGTCCAAATGAGACAGCTGAGCCAAGCACTTGGCGAGCACCTCCATGGTCCGGTTACCCTAGGAATCCAAGAATCGAGGAGCATCATCCCACACAAGAACATTCTTCTGGAGCGCCGTCACTCAAAGCAAGTTCTTCATAGGCACACGAGATTAATATTCTACTTTGCTGACAATCCCTAGAATGGTCTCAGACTGCTCAGGATTTGTGGGTCGATTCATTCGGGTGACACTTCATGAATCATGCTCACAGCACAATTTCATCCAATCGAAATACCCGCTCACAATCGCGTTCGAAGCATTAACAATACCAGTGGCAACCACCCAGATCAGCAGCACGATCCGGCGTTGATATCAGATATGATCGCGACGGGCACTGCCTCCTGCGAAGCACCCGCCAACGGCTTGTTCTCTCCCTCCATCACGCTGCAAGCATGCCCTTCGAGTTCACGGGCGTAGTTTCAGGGGGCAACTTCAACAATATCGCCGGTAATATGACTCAAGTCCTCAATTGGCACCCCAACGAGCACCAGAGCTCGACCCCGCTGCGGACACACGGTACGTTACGGCGCGCATTTACTAAAGGAATGCTCATTGAGGTATCCGTCGTCTGCATTGCCAGACCTAATGATGCATGACCGATCGCTTGGAGGCTCAGTCAGGCAAAGAGCGCGACCATCTTCTGTCTGGCATCCTTATTGTGAGTCCTATAACTTGAATACAGAGAAAATTCCTGAGCTGGGATCAGACTTGCACAGAGACAGTGGACATATATCGCGAAATACAGGTACAAAACCAAATCAGGTGATCGGACACGATATTAGCCTTCACGGTGACCGTCGTCCGCCGATTGAGCACTTCGAGCCTTTAAACCACACTTACAACAGTGTTGGAGGCAATATGACCCAAGTCATCTCATACGGAGAATCAGGTGTGTTGTGCATACTTCTTGTCAAATTTCTCGCATTGATCTGTTCATCTTAGGAATTAATCTTCTCCACCGACACGTCGTCACGGAGGCCTTGCATGATTCAGTGGAGCGATTTCAAGAGCCAGCGTGCCATCCTGGGACGCGAACGGAGGTGCTCAACGAGCTGCGGTCTTGGTCCACTGAGACAAATCCCAATACCACACTGCTGTGGATGCACGGATCGGCTGGCATGGGCAAGTCTGCTATTGCGCAGATGTTTGCTGGAGATTGCGAAAGCTATGGTCGACTGGGAGCATCGTTCTTCTTCCGACGCAACCACCCACGACGGGGAAAATGGAATAGTTTCATCGCAACGATTGCGTATCAACTGGCGAATACACTACCCGAATTCCTCTTACCGCTTCAGCAGGCCGTGGAACATAATAAACTGGTCATTGGGCGCTCCATGACTATACAATTCCAACGCCTTTTGCTGGGGCCTTTCACGCAAGTGACAAGTCTTCCATTTGTGCCAGTTGTCATCATAGACGGACTCGATGAATGCGAGGACCACAAAACTCAGCAGCAAATTCTTCGGCTGTTCATCGACGCGGTTCGAAATGGGCAGCTTCCCATACGCTTGTTAATTACCAGTCGGCCAGAGCCTCATCTTCGGGAAGTTCTGGAGACAGCGGAAACATTCGCCATATGTCGCCCATTGGTTCTCCGCGCCGACAAATCTGCATACGAAGATATTAGTACTTACTTTCGAGCCGAGTTCTCCCGGATTCATTCGGACCATGCGCCCAGAGGAATATACCTCGGCGCCCCGTGGCCCTCGACAGAAACCCTCGACCACTTGATCGCAATGTCTTGTGGCATTTTTGTGTATGCAACCACAGTCATAGGTTTTATTAGCGATGAATACAGCCATCCAGAAGATCGGCTAGCCTCCGTTTTGCGTCTCGACCCACACAGTACTACCACCCTCGACGATCTCTATTCCGAAATCCTGTCGATCCTGTCGCCGGAGCCCCAAAACCTGCGTATTCTACACAGCATTTACCATCTCGCACTAGATCCAGAAGAAATCGATACACTTCTGAGACTGCGCCCAGGGACATGTCGTCTCGCAGTACGAGGCCTACATTCACTGCTCGAAGTCCCCCAGATCCGACCCTGGTCTGGTTACCTGGAGCATGTCAAGCTTTTGCACGCATCATTCGCTGATTATCTGTCGAATCCACATCGATCTGGTGCTTGGTGCTTCTCCATACCTTGGCTACACTTTGACTGTCTTGAGTCCATAATTCGGCTGCTCTCTTCACCAC